AAATCACTCAACAGAACTATCAAAATATGAATGGAAAATAAACCTTTTGTAGTGCCATCCTGGCAGCAGCTCTTTCTCGTTCACGTTTCATCCTCAACTCATCTTGCTCCCTTCGTGAGGCTGCCTCAGCAGCTTTTATTTCGGCTTCAATTCTGGCTTTCTCTGCATTATTGCAAGAATTAGTGAGTACTTCTTTTTACTCTGCACTATTGCAAGAATTAGTGAGTACTTCTTTTTATCTTTTTATTTTTATTTCATGTAAAAGATAAGCGTATAAATGAATGTGGGAATCAATATATTAGTTACACACAAAATAATCCACAGAATATCTAATTATACATTAATGTAACCACCTTTCACTTAATATAGTCCCCGAGCAGCTACCTTATAATTGGCTTAAATTTAATCACAACATTTAGATAATTTTATAGAGGTTACCTTCTAGTTTTTCCCTCTCAAGTCTCTCTCTTTCTTGCTTCATCCTCATAGGATCAACCTTCTCCACCTACACAGTGTAATCCACAAAGTGAACAAAAAATGAATGCACAAGTAAAATCAATCAAATGACCAAAACGACCATCCAAGTACCTGATGAGTAGCTCTGAAGATGGTATCAGCAAAACGGCTTTTGAGCATTGCAACTCGTAATGCCTTGTTAGGCGACATTTGGGCATTGAGTGAAGCCCAACCTATTAAATAATAAGAACACTTCAAAATCCAGCCAACAGGAACTAAATGTAAACTACAATCATAATCACAAACTCACATAAAGGAAAATAAGTGCATACAATATGGATTAGATACCTATTTTACAAGCTAGAATCTACAAATTCTTTTTCACCACTATATAAATTTCACATTTTTTGGATATTTCATTATCGACCCACATACCTTCAGTAGAAGAGAGAGCTGTTGTAGCAGCGTTGGGAAGATCGGGACTCTTTTCTTCATGGATAACCACTCCAGGACCTTTTATAATAATCCGATATCATATAGATATTCAGAACAATCAGAATACTTGAAAATGAACATAAACACATAAATCTCCGTATATAAGATAAAAAAAGACCATTACCATCAGACTCGAGGCTGGAGCTGCTCCTTTGGATTGCCGAAGAACGTTTGACCTCGCTATACTGAAACATCAAACATAGGCCGAATCAAAATTTTGCACTACTACCACTATTATATCGCCGTATTTACTCGAAGAGTCAGTAGCAGATGATACTCACAGGTTTAGAATCAGAATCACCACACTGATTGTTTTCGGATGATTTTTCTGAAGATACATCTGCAATGAACATATTTATTAAGATCTCAACAACATAAAGAGAAAGTGAACATATATAAGAATTTTACTCACCACTTTTAGATGCTTGGGCTGAAGAATCTTTAAGCCGGCAATGACATGCCGAGTTAACGCATGAATGACATTTGGCCTCGACAGAATCAACTGGTTGACTTTGCTTGCCAGGTGCACAAGAACTTTGACTACGAGGTTCTGTGCCAATAAGACACAGGACCAATTAGCCCCTATAAAGAGCCAGAAAAAGTAGAAAAACTACTCTGCCACCTCTCATACCTTTCTCGACAGCTCTCGATGAGGAACACACCTTCAGTGTGATTGGCTTGACCTGCACAAAGTGAACAGAAAGTACTTGAGCATTATATCTCCACATGGAACTATCCGAAATAGGTGACCCAACTTCTAAAAAGAAGATTACTTTTATTTTGAGTACAATATATACAGTCAAAAGACTGCTTTTTCAGTAGAATTTCTAAAGTTTGAACAGAAGAAGGTAAAAGTCAAAATCACAATTCTAGAAAGTCATAACCAAAAATCTGTTCAGCTTAAAAAAAAATTGAACCACCGAGATATGCAGAAGAAAATTACTAACTTTTCCACACGTTCCATCTGCTGCACCAACTTTCGTTCTCGAATTCCGCAAACTTCTATCATCGTGCAAAGAATCAAAGCTTGTTTTACTTAGTCCAACCCGTTTTGCACCCTGGTGATGGTTTTCTACAGTTTGCTTGGTCGCTCGCCCATTATTCTCAACGTGATGGACAAAACTGCCCTTCTCGTCATTGCCGTTCCTCTGCTTCAACCACACACCCAATAATTTCCAACTCCTGGAGAATTGATCACCCATCTCCTTTGCCAGCTCATGAACATCATTCCCGGGAGGATTGTAAGTGGTGGCATTCGAGAATGTCAGCTTCACATCAGCAGCAAATTCCTCTGCACTGAAGTACATATTGCCGTCCAACTTACATTTTATCGTCCCTAAATCCATTGGCTTGGTGATTATCGAGAAGTAATCTGGAATATTCCACTTCACAGGATCCACAGGCTCGCTGAAAATAAAACTTCTTGTGTGGCTCAGCAACTTTTTGAGAATGTTCTCACACCGGTATTTCAAAGTCCGGTCCATCTTCGCCTTTTTCCTGGTTTGACCATCAAAAGACACCTCTGGCTTCCGCTTGGCAGGCGTGGCTGGCACGATTGGATTAGCAGTTAAATGAGAGCGATTATTTCCACTTTTGGAAATTTTGTTTACTTTTAATCCATTCTTTAATAAACCCTTTGAGGTGTTGTCCCGTGGCTTGACTTCCGAGTTACTCCGTATGCCTCTGCTGGTTATTTTGAACTTCAAGTTCCTTGGAGCTGTGTCGACTGCAGTTGTCATGGTGGGAAATGGCATGTGAGAGCAAAGGGCAAGCTTTCCTGTTGTTTATGAGATACGCAACACACTGGACGATGAGAGAAAGTTAATAAAACAAATAATCACCACAAAAGCCAACAGATTCAATCCATAGAAGACAAGAAAGTCTAGAAAATGGTTTAGAGTTTCAGATGCTTTCATAAAAACTAGTGACATGTCAATCAATCAACAAGCCGTTAAAATCTCACTAAGTCGGGTCGGCTATATGGATCACATATCGCCATGCTCGATCAAAATACATATCTTTATTCAAATTTAAATATTTTAAATCATTTTTTATTGCCTCCTTCTTCCAAGTTTTCATAGGTCTACCTCTCCCCTTTTAATTTGGGTTCTTAATTCTAATATTTCTACCCTTCTCACCGGTGCCTCGAAGTCTCTCCTCCGCACATGTCCAAACCATGTTAATCGATATTCTCTTATTTTCTCCTCTATAGGCGCTACCCCAACTTAGTATTCCATATAAAGGGGGGAGGGGTAGAAAAAACTTGGAAGGAGAAACAAAAACTTATCAGACGAACATAATATAGAGAATATTCATCAATAACAACGTAAGAATGAGAAACAACGGACTATAGAAACAATTAATCATTTACCAACAATTGCAACTGATAATACGAAAACAACAAAAACGGAACTTTGCCGGAAAAAAAGCAACTGGGGTAACCACGATAATTATTAAGGAAGGAAAACACGGAAGTTGTACCAGAATTACAAAATCAACAAACACAAAACAACAATTAGGTCAAAAAGTATCTGTAGACTGTAATCACGAAAACCATCTGAGCAAGTAAACAAACAGTAAAGCATAAACAAGAGAAACACCCGATCAAAACCCTTCAAAAGCAACACGATAATCAATTTTGACCCTTACAAAACCCAAAACAAACCGAAGAAATTCACCAAGTCAGAAACACATCAAGCTCGCCGAAGCATACCTACAAGACAAACGACTAACTTCAGAAAAAAAGCGCGAATTCGTCAAAAACAGCCAGTCGCGAACAAGGAGATCAATTTAACCGCAAAATCTCGCCCCAAAAAAAAAAAATACTGTGGAGTGAGTTTTTTTTAGGGTTTTATGAGAAACCCTCGCTACTTTTCACTTCCTTTTTACATGGTGAATTCCATCGACGCGTCTCAGGTGTGTGTCAAGCGGATTTTTTGCCGGGCTCGCGTCACGCTGTGAACTTAAATGACGGATTTGCCCTTCCGTTCATCAGATTTTTTTAGGGTGTGATTAGATAGATTTTGATTAGTTTGTTTTTTTTTTGTTAATTATAGTTAATTTTAAAAGAGATTGTATGATTAGTTGTTAGTAAAAATTTAAGTTTAAATTAAAATAATAGTTAAAATAAAATAATTAAAATTGATTAAAGTAGAAGAAAATGATTGGAGTGAAGATTAATTAAAATTATGTGAGTGGATGAATAGTTGATTAAAATTAATATGATGTGTAAGAATTATTAGTTGATATTATTTAACTATATTGAAATATTGATAATAGTTGAGATAATACTGATAATAGCTGAGTTGATTAAAATTGAGTTAAATTTGAATTGTAATTGATTTTTTACTTGTCAAGTTTATATCCAATCACACCCTTATTAAATCATAAATCACCAATAATCAATCAATAAATAAATGTACTATTGATTTATTTAGTAAAGATTCCAAATATTACCGTGGATTCAGGTAAGGAATGTATGCGTACTTTCCTTTATAGTTCTTTGAAATATTTATAATAAATCAATAAATAGATTTACTAATGATTTATCTGTCACTTATTAAAGATCCCTAATTAATGTAGATTGGAATGCACTTATTTTCTTTGTTATAGAAAAATTATATGGAGTCATTGGATGGTTTTGTTATGGAGTCATTGGATGATTTTTTTTATTGAGTCATCCATCACTTAACGTACTGACATTTGTTCAAATTATATTTATTACAAGACACGTGTCAATACACTATTGGTGAATAAGTGTGGATGACTACATAAGTCGGCTCCATAGCAAAACTGATTTATTATATTCTTTAGAAGAAATCAAATGTATTTATATACTAGCAATCATCGTGTGTATATGCACAAATATAAGTAAAATATTATAAGTTATATTTTTGAATTATAAATTATATAATGGACATATTATATTTTCAAAATTTAATCATTTCTAAAAATAAAATAGTATAAAATATAAATTATTTAAATATATATGAATTACTATATTGATTGAAAAAAGTTGAAGATAATGTAATTTTTAATTTTGAGGGATCATAGCCAATATAGTTAAAAATTTATTATTATTATTATTATTATTATTATTATTATTATTATAGCGTTAATTACTTATAAGATTTTAAGGTAGTTTAACTATGCTATTAAACTATTAGCTTATTTTATCTTAAAGAGGAGAGTTTCTTGAGATACAACATAATAATTAGAAAAATAGATTATATTTATTTTAGAATAAAACATTTGCAATATAACTTCTTTATACTTATGTAATTCTATATAACGTTTAGTGTAAACTATTATTAGTTGGTATTAATATTAACTATTACATAATATAATAGTAAAAATATATGAGTATACTTAATTAAAATAGTTGTAACGATTTTTTTTACCATGAGTAGCTAGAAAATAGGCGTGAAATGGTGAAAAGTAATGATGAAAATTTTGTAACATCTTTTAGCGGTAAACCAAAAACATGTTTATTAATTGTTCTGCTAGCAATTATATATATATGGCTATCTTATTAATGCTAAAATTATTTGTTTTCAACTCATTTTTTTGGTTAATTACGATAAAAAATTATTATATTTTATATTAATTGAGTAATAATTATAATACTTATTTAACTAAATAATCAGTCATGATCGCTCAAATTACAAAATTATATTATTTATTATGTTATTTATGCAATCCAATAGTTTTTTGCTTTTTATTTTTACTAATGATTAAAATTTTAAAATGTAATATCATTGTTTAATTTATAATTTTAATATTATGCATATAATTTTCACGTCTTGTTTCTTTGAAGGGCCAAACCATGTTTTGACCCACTGGATACAAGATTGGATTTTCGCGTCTTGGATCTTGTTTGACCAAGCCCACTCCAAAACCCATATATATATATCTCAAAATTCCACTGGCAAATATTCACCAAATACAGGAGAAAAAAAAAAAAATGGAAATAAGAGAAAACCATTTAACAAAAGACAATTCAAAATGCAGTCACATTGCAATGAGAACAAAGCAAACTTGCAATTCCTTTGACAAAAACAAGAACTTTACTGCCCAATAACATTTGTAGAGAGATTGAGAGAAAAAATAAAACAAAATAAAATAAATAAATAGACAGCCTTCGGGATTTACTCGTCGTGAATTCAGTGCTTAGCCATGCGACCCAAGCAAAGGCCTTCTCGACACTTCAATCGAACCTCCGCTGTAACATAAGTACAATACCAACTGAATAATCCCGAGTATTGCTCCTATCCCGTTAGGAACCTGAATTTACATCAACAATGAAATTAGAAAAAGAATGGGACGATCAATGAAAAGTCGATCAAGGGTAATATCGTAAACTTACGGAGATAAATGGGTCTTGCTTGAAAAGACCATACACAAAGAATGAAACGCTCATCAAGAATGTGGCTAACGAAAGGTAAAACGGCATGTATTCGACGCTTTTTGTTCTGATCACCAAATTCTGCACGGTTTGCATGCATAGCATAAATTAAAAACGTTATAGAAGAAAAAAAAAATGAATAAAATCATGAGACGTGGTGTTTTTGGTACGAGTCAACTCACGATAATGAACAATGGTGAAGCAAACATGGATATGAGAGAGAACACAGATAGGTATCCAACAAAAAGTTGCCGATTAGGAGGCTCGAAAAATCTAATGCTAACGAAAGCGATTATAGCAAACACAGAGAACACTGCTAACAGTAATCCCAACATCT